CACACACACACACACACACACACACACAAACACACACCCCCCACACACCCACACCCCCCTCCACACACACCCACACACACACACCAGTCAGTACTAACCAGGCATGCAGGCCATGGCAGCAATGTCGTCGTCATCCAGCTCATCGTCATCACTGTTGAACAGCGACTTGAAGGCTCCACGGGGCCCGCTCGACTTCTTGGCCCCGCCCCCACCCCCTGCGGCGCTGGCAGGGGTGAAAGGTCGAATGTTGTACGTGTACTTCTCTCGCAGCTCGTGCAGGTGTGGGAATGGGAAGTCTCCGAAAGAGTAGACCGACTTTGTGTCGAGGCGGGGGGAAAAAAATGGGAAAAGGGGATAGGTGAAGTAGTGATTTTGATTAAATAGAGATATATAGAGTGGCTAAAAGCATGATGAAAGAGACAAAAATATAGAAAATTAAAGGACAAACAGTATTTTTTAACGTTTTAGTCAGAGTTTTACGGCACTTGCAACACAATATTAAGGTCATATAAGTGCCGAAGATTAGAGGTGTTACAAGAGAGTAACAAACAAAATAAAAATGAGAAGAGATAAGGACGATAGATGTTTGGTAGGAAAGAAGGAGCAAACCACACCAGAGCACCTGCCAACCACCCACACAGTACGATGATGTTATATAAATATATTTGTCTATTTATGTATAAATATACAGTTGAAATTGTCCAAGACAGCCGCCCATTATTGAGGAGAAAAGTGGTTGTCTCAGACAGGCTGAACGTCTTGGATAGAGTCTTTGGGATAAAGAAAAAGTGCAAGGAGAGATGGGGGGGGGAGTGGGAAGTATTTGTTTGAACAGGTGATTGTCTTGAACAAGAACGTATGGCATCAGGTGGAATCAGGCTCTCGTCAAAATAATCAAAGTGAAGAAATTTGTTTTTTTCCGCAGTTTGTGAATTTTTATCAAATTTTAGTTTTTTGGCTAAAGATCTTTCATGTCCATTAAAGAACTCATTTCTATGTGGATTTTTCTGAAAAACAATGAATAAAGGCACAAAAAATGTAAATTTTTAGTTACCACGGA